TTTATCTCTTTTTACTTATTCATTTTGATAAATCAAGAAAAAACAAAAAAAATTTACCTATTATATCCTCAATTAATTAGTTTTGAAAAAGATAAAACTTTTTGAAAATTTTAAATTTTTAATTCATCCACTTCATAATTAATAGAGATAAAATGGTAAACTTACTATGTTAATCATTATTTTCTTAAAACGTGTCTTAATTTAAAAAATAGAAAAGTAATTAGCATGATTTTTCTTTTAAAATAAAATATACATATAGTTGGGGCCCACCCTGCTTTTTGAATTTTATGAACACTTCAAATACATTGGGTCCTTTTGTGCAGAGACTCTTTAGATGCCACTCATGCCACAACATTAATCTAATCTAAGAATAGACTAAATTATGGAAGTGCATTATTTCAAATCAGATAAATAATCAGTGCTACTATTACTTGCATTCTTATCTTTCTTTTTTTTTGGGGGGTCATTTTACATTTCTACTATTTATCAACCCCAGGAAAGTTTCTCAAGGACTCAACAGAACAATAATGGATCTTAAGCTTGGTTTTTATGTTCTCTCCCTAAATATCCTAATTCAGCTGGTAATTATCACTCTCTTCTCCTCACTCTTAACTACACTTTTTATATAAACTGTAATTGAAATGTTAAGAGCATTTATATTATATGTTGCTCACTTTGGGATCGTTTGGTAAGATGTATAAGAATAGTGTTGAATGTGGTGTATTAACAATCTAGACATTAGCGATGCTGGTATTAATAATACTTGAGTTAAAGTGTTAAACCCCTTTGCATTACTAATACTATGGATTTTTTCATGTATTAGTTATGCATAACTTAATACTACCAAATAGAGAGTATAACTAAAAGTGTACCAAACAAAGTAAAACTAATGCATGCATTACATTTTCTAATGCATTCTTCCTAATGACTTGTAGGTTGCTTATGGAGCAGAAGCTAGGAAAATGGTTGAAGGGAACCTGCAGGGCAAAATATTGAACTCTCCACTTGCTCAAATTGGTGTAAATGGAAATTTGCAAAATACAGACGACACTGAAAATTACTTGATATACAACAACCATGGAGATAACAACCATCAACAAGCCAAAACAGAGAACGCCCAAATTGGTATCACATCATATGGTGATCTGCGGAATGAGGACGACACTCAAAATTACTTGATATACAACAACAGAGGAGACAACAATCATCAACAAAACAAAACAGAGAATGCCCAAATTGGTATCACATCATATGGTGATCTGCGGAATGAGGACGACACTCAAAATTACTTGATATACAACAACAGAGGAGACAACAATCATCAACAAGCCAAAACAGAGAATGCCCAAATTGGTATCACATCATATGGTGATCTGCGGAATGAGGACGACACTCAAAATTACTTGATATACAACAACAGAGGAGACAACAATCATCAACAAAACAAAACAGAGAATGCCCAAATTGGTATCACATCATATGGTGATCTGCGGAATGAGGACGACACTCAAAATTACTTGATATACAACAACAAAGGAGACAACAATCATCAACAAGTCAAAACAGAGAATGCCCAAATTGGTTATCATCATATGGTGATCTGCGGAATGAGGATGACACTCAAAATAACTTGATAGACAACAACAAAGGAAACAACAATCATCAACAAGCCAAAACAGATGATGCCCAAATTGGTATCTCATATGGTGACTTGCAGAATAAGGACGACACGCAAAATACGCTGATATACAACAATCATCAAGAAGCAAAAACAGAGAATGCACATATCCATTCATCATCCCACATTGATCCTTCTTTAAGAGTTTTCTTCCTTATGGACGATCTAAAGCTAAGAAAAGAAATATTTATCTCCTTTCCAAGAAGGGATCTTTATCCCTCTCCAAAATTCTTGAGCAAGGAAGAAGCTAATTCCATTCCATTTTCACTAAAGGAACTCCCAAACCTCCTTCAACGTTTCTCATTCTCTCGTAACTCTCCAGAGGCGAAAGTTATGGAAGAAACACTGAAAGTATGTGGGATTCCACCTATAAAAGGAGAAACAAAGTACTGTGCCACATCACCAAAGGCAATGGTTGATTTTGTTCAAGAAATAATGGGAGATAAAACAGAAATCAAAGCTCTATCCACAACTCATTTCTCAAATTCAACTCCCCTGCTTCAAAAGTATATTATTTTGGATACTCCAGAAGAAGTAGAAACTCCTAAGATGGTGGCATGTCATACCATGCCTTACGCTTACGCGATTTTCTACTGTCATCACACAGTTAGCAAGGGCAAAGTGTTCAAGGTTTCATTAGGTGGCGAAAATGGTGAAAAAGTGGAAGCAATTGTTGTTTGTCACTTGGATACCTCTGAATGGAGTCCATCTCACGTATCTTTTCGAGTGCTCGGTATATCACCAGGAACATGCCCAATTTGCCACTTTTTTTCATCAGATAATCTACTCTGGGTTCCAAAATTCGCCATTGCACAAGTGATTTGAAGGAGCACTCTCTCCATGTTATCAGCAGCTTTGTGTGCTACTGTTTGATTACTATCTGTTATTGTGAATTAGTAATATTTTCATGCATCTTTTCTGTACTGTTTCAGTGTGCCTCTTGTTTTGCTCACTTTTCAATGGTGAGATATAAATAAAACTAGTAATATGATTTGCTGGTTGATTCATTGTCATCAAATTTAGACTTCACACAAAAAAAGATTGCAACTGAAAGATGCTGATTGGTTGATTTGTTTGTATATGTTTTAAAAAGGAACTCTAGTTATGTTTAGTAAACTGACAAATCAATGAAATCGGGTCATTTTTTTCTTGATTTGAGAGTTTTCATCCAATTGAGGGTACATGTGACAAGTTTATAGACGGTGAGGGTAAAAATAACTCTATTTTAATGATAAAGGCATAGTAAATTAATAAATCAAAGTTGAAGATATTTTTGACCCTTTTCCCTTAACTGATTTACCAAACAATGAGTATTTGCGTACTTAGCCCAAAATAAAAGAGAAATTTCACCAAAAATTGTACGGTCTTTAAAGCCCAATGCCAACAAAATATAAACAAAGCCTAGTCCATCAACCCAAATCATTTGATCAAATGCGCCTCATCCCAATTTGGGTTTGTGGTACCGAGATGCTTTGAAAAATATTTTTCTCAAAAAAAAAAGTTTTTTCTTATAGCAAATTTACCACTAGATAGTGTCTAGTGACCTTTTATTAAACATAAAAAAAATAATCATTAGGGATAAGTACAAGGAAGACCTTGCTAATCCTAATCAAGTAGAAAAAAACAAGTTCCTTAAGTGAAACCTCAAGTTCATTGTCTCCACACACCCAACCCAAACACCCTCACCCCTCTTTTGTCCACCCATCCCACCGCCTCGTGAACCCCAGCTCTGCCATCACATTTCAACTCATACTATTTTTTTAGATTATATATAAATACTCTTGTATAAAAAATTCTCACTTACTAAATATTAAAAAATTGAATAATAAGTGCAATTGTTTTCCTATATATTGTTCACAGAAATGGACCTAAATAAACTTGGATTTTTGAATCTAACCAATAATCTATTTTCCTGTAAAATGGAGAGGGAGTGTGAAAATTTTATAAATAACATATATAAGACTAATAATTTCAAGTTATGACAGTATAATAAAACTTTCAAGTTGTAACAATAAAAAATTTCAGGTTATAACAGTTTATTAAAAAAAAGTTTAAAATAATAATAAAAAATGAATTTTAAAAAATAATAAAAAGTAAAAAACAGAATTAGTTGTAGTAATTAATTTGAATACATTAATGATAATTCATAATTGCCATAAATTTAGGAGATTCAAAACAAATAGGAATATTTCTTTTCCTTTTTTTTACTCTAATCAGTTAAAAGTATTTCAAAAACCATATTTTCTTCTTTTGTTCATATTTTTCTCTCTTCTCGATTTTTTTTTTTTGTATTTCAAAAAATCAGATTTTTTTCTTTTGTTTTACATTGTCAGATTCGTTTCTTCGAATATTTATACAGGTTGGATACCAACTTCATACATTTTCTATTTTTTTAGTTTTTTGTCTTAGATTATGAAGTAAAAAAAAAACAATCATATATGAATTGGATACCAATTTTATACAAATTGAATACCTGACACTCTTATTTCATATAATCTAAATTGTTGTTCATTTGGTTTTCAATTAATATCCAAAACTAAAACGGTTTTATGTTGAACCCAATTGGTATGCAGTTTTTATATAACTGATATCCCGGAATTATAATAGACTATCTGTAATTCATATGTCAAGTTTAACAATGAATATGAATTATTTGGTACTATGTTTATGAGGCTTTTTTCAAACTAAAGCCCAATAAAAATGTTGATATCCAAATTGTGTACTGTTAGTATCCAACTTGAGAAAACAGTGCATATTATATATAGTTGGAAGAAAACAGTAAATATTATATATCATCCAAAACATAAAACAGTAGGAAAAAACAAATATATATCATCCAAAACTTAAAAAATTTCTAATACTTAAGAGTCTAAGCTCCATTCAACTATCTCAAATTAAATTTTCGTGGTCTTGGTGTAGGGTAATTGCTGGTATCCGGAGCATGTTCTTTTGCTATTCGGGGTCCACCAAATTTGCTAGCAACAGTTTCAGTTACTTCACTCTCACTAATCGCACCATCATAATTCTTTATTTTTCCGTACTGCCATAAGATTGTGGCGCACCTTTGACGATGATACTTTGCATCGATATCAATGAAATTCATATTAAAAACTTCATTGCTGATATATTCAACAAATAAACATGTGTACATACCACAATCAGTGAAACAAAAATGAAAGAAAAATAATTTTAAGAAATAAAGTGAATTACTTTTTATGATGAAATCACTAAAAGATAGAAATACAAACTTTGTACTTGACTCTTGTTGAGGCACATTTGTCAGATGCATGACTTCAAGTATTAAGATAGTTTCATACCAATATTATTCTTGTTTCATACCACATTCATAAACATATATTAGTTAGATGACAAACTTCATACAAATATTAAGACAGTTTCATATCAGTATTATTCCTTTTTCATACCACATTTATATAAAGATATGAGAGATTTTGAATAATAACTTTCCTGCTAAAAGGTGTATCAACTTCATACCAAAATTAAATCAGTTTCATACCAATGTTAAAACATACTACATACCACATTCCTAAATCAATATTAAGACATTTTTCATACCAATATTATTCATGTTTCATTCCACATTCATAAACATAATGAGAGATTTTGAATGATAACTTTCATGCTAAAAGGTATACAAAGTTCATACCAAAATTAAATAAGTTTCATACAAATGTTTACCATATTCATAAACCAATATTAAGTCAGATTCATACCAATCTTAAACATGCTTCATACCTTTTTGAGAAAAATAATAACCAAATTAATATCAATTCCATGATAGTAACTATACATATGTATGCTTATGTCACAACAATTTCATGTCAAACATCAAAACAAAATTCATGCCACAAATAATATGCAAAAATAAACTGTTATAACAAAAATTCTACTAAATTTAATAATTGGAAAATAAATAAAATAAAATATTTACCCTAACCACTTTTTTGTCCCTTTTGATATTGAGATTTCTGAAGCCTTCTTCATTGTTGCCCTTCTTTTGGAGGATTTTGATGACTGACCCGTTTCTACATTTGTTGATTTTTTTGTTTTTTTGATAATTTTCTCGCTTACAAAATTTGAGTCCGAATCAGAAGAGGGTTCCACCCTTTTCCCCTTCCTATTTTGTCCCTTCTGATTTGAAGGACTTTCAATTTTCTTTGCTGGAGTTTTCTTCTCCTTTTTGTAATCTGCTTTTACTTGAGTTTTCTTCTTCTTTCTTGTAATCTGCTTCTTATTTTGAGAAGTACCAACCTTTTTCGCTGAAGTTGCATTTTTGTTATGCGGTGGCGTTTGAGTCAATATGTTAAACGTCGGAGGCTCTA